CCAAAGCTGCTTCAGCAGTAAGCAATGGTCGAGAGAGTGATGAGGTGACCTGCACCGAAGAATCTATTTGTATCTAGTGGGCCAAGAGCGCGAAGAGGATGAGAGACAACAGATCGCGAAGCTTCGCGATGGAAGGCATAAGTGGTAAGGAGCACGTCTACACAGACTTCGTCTTCCCGCTGTCAAGTGCGCGGTGCAACGGCGCGAGCCATCCCAACGTCACGTAGCCGCTTCCACAAGCTCTTGCCACTGGGAGCTGGGGTTACCGGGTCCTCTCTTATTTGACGACTCCGGAATTCGTCCCTGCTCGAGACGCCAAGAGCTCCTGGTCCAGTATGAGGCGCTTTGGGAGTGAGTGGGACCGCAGATGCCGGAGTCGAAGGAGTCCGTGAGCTCAAACGTGGCAGACGTCCTGCAGAGGCCATCCGAAGCAGACTAGGCCGAGTTGGCACCGCGGAGCTTTTCTGCTTTTCGTCAGCGGGACTCTCATTGTGCGCATCTTTGCGTCTCAGCGAGCCGGTCGCGCTTCGCAACCCTCCATGAGATCCTTGGAATGAAGGCGAAGTCATGAAGTCTGCGGTCCTTGAAGCGCTTGGCGGCCTGCTGATTTGTTTGGAAAGGCGGTGCTGGCGCTGAGCAGTCGTGTTGGCCGCTCGCACCTCTACCTGGGTCGGGCTCAATAAGCTGGTCAAGCGGCCAAACTTGCTAGCCTTTTTGCCGCCATTATGATGTTCATCCGGACGCTCAAAGGACGTAGAGAACCGAGAATCAGGGGCGGGGGGCAGTGCAGGAGAGCCTACGGAGCCCTGTGCAGCATTGGCGCCTAGAAGACATAAGGAGTGCCGTGCTTTCAACGCATCTGCTTTGGGGTTATTGGTGTGGTGCGCGAGGTCGCGATTGATGGTTGAAGCAGTGGTGTTGGGGTGCTGCGTCCGTGAAAGAGTCAGGCCCAGACTTTGTGCTTCGTCGATTGACTGGCCCAACGGTGCTGTTGAGCCCGTGCTGGCCACCGGCTCATTGGTACCACTCGTCAAGGGCGAGAAGTCTTTTGCAGCTGAATGAGACACCAAGGCTGCTAGATTGGGCACAGCTGCGGCAAGCTGTAGGTTCGATTGACTGACTGATCTCACCATTTCGTTTGCGGCAGCTATTACCTGCGCAGAAGACGCATAGGCTGCGCTGCTCGAGTGCGCCGATATTGACGAGAGACTCGCGGTAGACTCTTCGACCAAGCGACTTAAGCGTTGAGCCATTTGACCAATCTCGGCCAGAGAAGCTCGTACGCGTGCCAGAGAACCGCCTTCTTCTCCAGCAGTCGCTGCTGATACGCGATGGTCCTTGGCATCAGGGCTCAGTCCATTGGCAGGGTAAGTTGGATTGCTACACTCACGACCGATCAGGTCTGCCATCTGCTCTATCTCCATACTGAGTTCAGCAGACGTGCAGCCTTCGTTGATTTTTTCTAGAGACATGGTAGCTGGACGAGGCGGCGGCGGCGGCTTCGTCGCATAAGATTGCAAGTTCGTGGAGTGCGTGACGTCAGAGATCATTTCGACGTCGTTGGCGTGATCGCCGATTGCGTTTCCTGAGTGGCACAGGCTGAGAGATGGTCGCTCAGCTTGTGCCGTGACGACTGAGCACATTGATGATTCTTCTGAGCATTGACGGGCAGGACACGGTCTATCTTTCAGACCGACAGCGGAATTGCCGGGCGCGCATTCACGTTCCCGGCGGGTGTCGCTCGATGTGCCCATAGCACTGTTGACCAAGAGCCCTCTACTGCTGTGGTCTTCGACGCTCGAGCTGACCTGACGTGGATGTGCTGCCTCAGAAGGCTTTGTTGCAGCAGCTTCTGCTGCCCAAGCGGACTGGAATTGCTTCGTACCCGGCTTTGCGTGATCAAAACTCAGAAGAGCACACCGAAAATGCTGGCCTGCTTGACTGTCCGTCTTCAGCGAGACCAAGTCTCGCTGCGTAATGGCAGCTGAAAAAGGTCTTGCACCTTTGCTTCCCTGGCCAGCACTCGCGGAAGGCACATCGAGAGTTCTGGATGGCTCCAAACTCTTCGCTGTGGCGGGCGGTGAATTGGCTGCGGGATCTGTAATACAGTGGGATCCATTCACAATGAGCTACCCGACCCTTTGCGCCGCGGATATCCCAACGTGAGGCACGTACCGACGGATGAGAGAAACGTTGACCCTTTAATTGTGTGGGAGTACGAGGTAGACTCGCCCGTGGGCACGTCGTAGGTGCTGCCGCCCCAAGCACCCTCCGACACTTGCAGAGATTGCACAGATCGCTCATCGGAAAGCTCACTAGCGGTACTAGACATGTCTAGGGTCGATAAGCTGGGTTGCTCGTCCTCTGCTGTAGTTTCCTGGGGAACGAGGATGCGAGGTGTTGTAGGCGGGCGGCAGGGCTCGCGCGGGCGATTGCCGTTCTGCTGGTTGGGCCAAGGCGTCCGATGGTGGTCTGAGTTCTCTATGGCAAAAGTTGTTGTCGACGCAGGCCAACTGGTCAGACCGTTCGGCACGACAACGACCCCGGAATCCAGGGTTGTCAGATTGAGCAGGCTTGGTGCTGCCGAATTCCGGGTCATCAGCTGTTCAAGCGCTGTGCTGTCGCTCGACTGACTGCTACGGTCGTGGGCCTCAGAATTGGGAGGTGGAGTTGCGGCAACGTCGTTGAGCTCTTCCACAGCTGCCATCGACTGGTGCATTTTTTCGGAGTCTTCATGTTCCGACAAGACATTCGACATCCCTGCTTTGGCGGGAGGCTGTTTGTCCTGCTGCTTTGACGAGGCTGTCTTCGCATTAGACTTTCGATCTCCAGCCTGCCTCACTCGTTCGCTGACACGAAGAAGCTCAATTAAGCTGTCATCGAGGTCGGACGTCCTCCCACCATTATGATGCTTATCTCGTCGCTGGGCGCCAGGGGCGTTCTCGGGCCAGAAGAAGGGATGATTCAAGGCGTCTTTCGCTTGTATGCGCTTCTTCGTGTCTGGTTCGACCATGGCGCGAACGAGACTTTCGCAGTGCACGGATATCATGTCCCAATTGCCTTGCCAAGCGGACATGACAGTCCTCTCGTAGTAAAGAGTGAGAGATTCGGTGTCGAGGCTGCACAGAAGAGAGATTATGTAGTCAGGCGTGGCGTTTCACGCTGATTTTGTGGCAGGACCTCAACTCACAATGTCTCGTTGACGTTCTCAAACGGTGTGCGACCAACGGCGATTTCGTAAAGGCTGACTCCGAGGGCCCAGACATCGGCGAGTCGCTCGTCGTGATCATCGCCGCGAGCTCGCTCTGGCGAGAGATACTCCGGGGTACCCCACCGTGCATTGGTGATGAAGCCGGAGTTGGGATCATGATTCTTAGCAAAGCCGAAGTCAAGCAATATTGGTCGCTCTCGACCATCTGGGCCAGGGTGTACCATCATGTTCTGGACCTGCAGAGTGGTTGAAGGCAAAGAGGCAAATATTCGGCGTCGGCAATTAGGTCAGCCTGTAGCCGTGTAGTGCAGTCTTCCTTACCTTGATGTCGCAATGCGTGATGTTACGTGCGTGAAGCCACGCAACGGCCGACGTGAGCTGCTGGAAAAAGCCTTCCGGCCCCGCGTACACCCAGCGAGAGAGGCACACTTGCATAGCCTTTGCAGGAGGGAGCGAACGCGGGTCAGACGCCGAGAGCAGAAAGCAGCACCTCAGCAGCGCGATACAGAGCTCACCTGATCAAAGAAGTCCATCGTCAAGCACGCGTAGCTTGGACTGAAGAGGAACTGTTGTTGAAGAGGAAGATTGTGGGGATTGGGCATTGGCTGGTGCCGGTAATGAATCGACATACCACTCACCTCTCGAAAGACGACGAGATTGGGGTGCATTTCTTCAAAGCTGCAAGCCGATCTCATGACTTTGAACTCATTCCAAAGAGCTTTGACTCTGGACTTGCTCGCAGAAGAGTGATCGCGCACGACCAGTTTGACCGCCACTGTGCGTCGTTGAGGCTTGCCCGACGCGTCTTTGACCACAGGCAGACCGGCTGTGGGAGTCCACCGACCGGTGTCAGATCAAGCCCAGTCACA